TGTGTGATTCTCTATGTAAACATTCATAGCCTTTAATTGTTCTAAGACAACGGTGGAGATACAGGCAAAGAAAGATTTGAAGATAAGATACTCACTTGATGCCAAGATCAATATGCTCCTGGATACCGAAACCAAAGCATCCGGTATCGCTGAAGTTCCTCCTCAGGAGCTCATACTCCTTCACCTTCAGATCACTCTCCAACAGCTGCATTACCTTGTCACCCCTCGCGGTCACATAACAAACGATTTTCTCACTACGTAACGGTATACCTAGCTACATTGCCAGATCACTCTCCAAACTACCTAACGGTATACCTAGCTAGAAAAAACCCCAATTCGTTCTACCTCCGATTAAAACCCCCTCCACAACAAATACAACCCAAGAAGAAACTCCTAATCATATTGCTATCAAAATCGTAACTTCAACCATACCCTTGGAGTAGAGTTGGTTTTGGCCGCTGAGTTTCTCCAGCACCTGCGAGTACAACCAGTGAATACATAAATATTAAGCGCAGGAACAGAAGAGGAAACTATGAAGAGTTTAGAGCAAACGAAAAGCGGCAGAGAGAAAGAAAACCTTGGCGGCACGGGTAAGACGATCACCGCTTTCTCCGACGGAGATGTTGGTCTGTTGAAAGTTGAAACTGTCATTCGCTTCAAGGATTCTTAATAATTACATACCCAAGCATGAACTTGTCAACCTGAAACTGAATACAATACATTACAAGAGCACTCTGCAATTCTATTTGATAAATTTATTAAAGGAGCATCACAAACAAAATGGACTTTTGTATCTTTTAGATCAAAGCACTAGTCACTATTTCTAGCTGGAGTATCTAGCACCATTATGCATCCTATAGCCCCATCACACTCAACAAATGTCAGACACAGATCATAAATCTTTATCAAAGAAGAAAGAAGGCCCTCGAGTTATGCAATCCATCATTACTATCCCCAACCAACTGTTCACTTTTTTTTCATTATCCAATCACAACCATATACCAGCTCACCTCTTTAACTGTCATATATAATATATATACAAATAAACCACATCAAGGATTGCTTACTCACTAGTAATAAGTCCCCCAAACATCCAATTTAAACGGGGTTCACAAACATGTACCTTGTGTTAGATGTTAGATACATGAAAATCTAGACAAAGATCCTCATTTGCAGCTTCAAGGCAGGTGATTCTTTCCTTCAAGTTCTACATAGATAGATATCTATTAGACCACAGATCTGGCGAAGTCAAGATAAAATCATACCAAAAAAATAAAGCTAAGAGAAAGCAGAATGCATCCCTGTAAATGAATAGCAGAGAAATGAGAGAACCCACAATGACTAATCATAGTATCTTCTGTTGAACAAGTCCAGCAGCTTTACTTTAGGAATCCAGTTGAGTGTTTCAATGTATTCTTTGCAATGCAACTTCGAACTCTTTTTCATGACCTCTTTTTGCCTGCAGGATAGATACAGAACAACATACAACGTTAACAAAATGCAAATTAGCTGTCGTAATTCCTAACATTTTTTAGATAATAGTAATATAGTTTTGGGTACCAGCCATCTAGAAGATTCTGGACGAGAAATAGTCCTATAAGCAAGATTATGCAAGGAATTAGTCCTGCAAAATGCCACAATCAGCTAGAGCCCTCCACAACTATTGTTACAGCTAGCTTCGAGTTCAAAGAGGTTAGAGTGAGATAAAACGGTTAACATAAACTCATATCCACACATCACAAATACCAAAATAACCTCTTACAAGGCCTGAACTCGAGTGAGCTTGCTCCAAATCCTGCTTCTCCTCAGCGCACACCACAAGCACAAATTCACTTCTGTCTAGCAAAACTCTTTTATCTTCTAACACATGAGAACATGGGAATGAAGTCGTGAGGAATTCAGAGGAAGGGTTGTTGTACAAGCAACAGTTGTGTTAAATGTTAAACCAAGTCATCATAAAAGAAATGTACCTAAACCAGAACCCTTCCTGCTCTCAGAGTGACACCACTCTTTTTTCCACACTAAATACTCTGATCCTTAAGCCTCTAAATTACTATGCCCTAACAAAGTAACTTCCGGATTGAAATTAAAATCAACTGATTACCACTACTGGCCTTGTTCAAGACTTGACTAGAGCGGCTAGCTTCCACAACGTCTACATCGCTTCCTTCTCCAAGAACAGTATCCCATCAATCCCCTGTTCATAGACCACATTTATCGTACTGTTAAAAGATAATATAACCATTCATACCACTTGTAGCTACAAAGCAAAAATACACACCAACATGGCTTGAATCGACGAGTCTCAGCGGGAAACGTCGCATGCAATGGCTTAAAACTGAAATTTCAATTCCTTCTCGACTCTGCCTCCTTCGTGCTAGAAGCCGATTGCGCAACCACAAGAGATAAAGAGATTCACCAACCTAAATCAAATACAGAGAAACAAAGCAAGAAATCAAACAGACTAGTTCTTACCATCAAATGAGAATATATGAATGCGGAACAGTGAGATGCAAAACGGCCGACAAACCAGGATTCCACAAAGACAGAGCTCCATGCGGAGAAAGAGATTTGACCGGAGATTGTGAGTTCATCTGAATAGCAGGGTACACATGGATGGTGTCGAACTAGGTCAGAGAAAGAGGGGCAAACCGAAAAACACCATAGATTTTTTCAGAGATTGGGGGTATCATCTGCCGTGGTGTTAGGGTTCAACTTGATGTAGTAGGGAGAAAAGAAATTGATTTTGGGAAGATAGAGGAATCATGAAAAAATTTTCAAAAAAAGGAATGGGCTTCGCAGCAGGTGTAATAACCGCTGGTGGATTGGCTGCCAAAATTACGGATAATAAAAGCCCGGCAGCGGTTAAGGAAACCCCCGGAAAGAAACCCCTGGGCTAGGCCCATTTTCTTGTAGTGATAAATAAATTCAAATGACTGGAAGAAGCCACACAACACATAGTTAACTCTACAAGGACAATCTTGCCCCGTGCATCAGATACAACTTCTTGCCTCACTTTATCTAGGACATCCTTCGCATCCCTAGCAAATACAAATTGAGTAAGACCATGCAACACACACCAACGAACCGCCTCCCTTAGAGCTAGGAGTTCAACCAAGAAAGGATCCACACCACCCCATCAACAACCGACCTTTAGGATTAGAGTATAGTACCATGTCCCAAACTCTGGTGAATTCAAGGTTTGGGATTACATAATCGGAGCCTGCGATTTATCAATTAGAGGTAAGGTTATAGTATCATACCTCAAACATGGTTTAATTCATGCTGTAGATAGAGATATCTCACTAAGAATACCTGCAGTATAGTACACTCCAGGCGTACACCAGTCTGACCCGCTAAAGACTTGTATACTTTAGGATTATAGTATAATCTAGGTGATTTGACCATTAGATGTACTTTGTTGAGTTTCGGCCAATCTCAACGATCAATATTTGTTTTCCTTTAATTTGAACTTAGGGTTTGGGTTTAGAAAATCGGAGGTTGGGGTATATCCATTATAAGTTAGGGTATATATAGAGAGGAAAGACTAGCATATGCTTGATGTACGCTATACTCCTGTGTTCACACTTGTTATATGTATATTGATACATTTTGACGAATCAAAATCGTCAGTTATTATGTTTTTAGATAAAAATTAATTTTATGGTTCGGGGTTACATATGGGGTTAACCTATTAGAGGTTAGGTATAGTATCATGCCCCAAACTCCAATTAATCTGTGTTCTAAATAGTAAAAGTCAAGAAGAGTATGATATTGTGAACGTACGCCTAATATACACTATCCAAAATCATTATATATCACAAATATCTAAAATTGATAAAAACAAGCCCTAGCTGCTAAAGGCTAAAACATCCTTCGATCGCCAAGTTAAATATTAGTTCACTAAGACCAACTTCAATGCTAGTTCCCAAATTTGGGGACCTTCATCTCCAAATTTGTGGACTATCCTCATTTTCATCATTTTTACTCAAATGCTACCATATCCAAATTTGGAGACCTCCATTTTTTCTAGTTTTTTTTTACATAAAATTGTACTTATGATTATGTTAATCTAATTTCTTCATGTCAATTTTTATATAGTTCATCATCATTTTTTAATACAAATTTCCGATATATTTTTTTAATTTCGAGACCAAATTTTTTGACAAAAAATTATTGACCTAATTTTTCTCTACACACAACACTTGATAATGATTCACCTAATTAAACCACAATTAAACCCTAAAATATTAAATGAAATAAAAAATCCAGGTGGCAGACTGGCGGTTGTCCCGCCCACAGCACGCCCCTCCTCATTTTCCTGGGAATTCTCCATTTTGCCTGGCGGTTGTCTCCATTTTGCCGCACCAAATGGCGATTCTCGCTATAAATGCCAACAAAAGACTATATGTCGCGCCCATTGGAGTCAGCCTAACTAGGGAGCAATTTTTAATTATCTCACCTAGCTTCAAGGATGGATTAATACGACAAGATCTCAAACCCAATCAACAGATTTGTTGAAGCTATTACCTAGCTTCAGTTTATTATCTAGCAAACCATATTAAAGTAGAAGAACTACACCTATTTTAGCAAACTATAGTTAAAGTTAATCTAAGCACAGGTTGGGAACTCACTCGGGTATGATTCTCCCTAGCTCCTCAATTAGGTCAAGTTGTAATTTCCTTTGGTTGATTTACTGTTGATTAAACTGCGGAAGATCCAATAAAAGTTTGGAATATCTTAAACTGACCAAGCCCTCTTAGACACAATACCCGGCAGGAGACTACCCTTCACCGGGATAGAATGATAAGGCAATTCACACAGATCTTCATTCTCCACTACTTGGAATGGATTCCAATACGCAGTAGTGAATCAATTCACTCTCGCACAATCAGTTCCAAACTATCAATCAAGAAAGCTCTCTTAACCTAATCAGATTTTATCTATCATATGTTAAAGCATAAATCAAAAGAATATGATTAGGATCCAATTGACTCAACAAATCATGCCTCAATTGATTAAAATCAAACATTATAGCATCCAAAGGTTTATACAAGAAAGATCCTAACACATGGAACTAGGGTTTTTCAAAACCTAAGTGAAGGGAAGTTACTTCATAAAGAAAAGAGAGAATGCAAAAATCTGATCTAGATCTTCAATCTCCATCTCCAAGCTCGATTCCCTAGCTCCAATGGCGAAGAAATCCTCCAAAATAGTTCCAAGAATGATCCCAAGTTGCTCTCTGTAGGGTTCGCCCCATGGGTGTTTGGGATCCAAATCCCAGCTCTCCCTCTCAAAATTTGCAGAAAACTTACTTATACCCGAGCAGGGGGCAGAAACACGATAGTGTTTCTCAGACCGTGTTTTAGCCATTCCCTTGTTTCTTCTCGTCAGTAAAAACATGGGCATAGGAGGATAAAACAAGACCGCATTTTCCTACCCGTGTTTCTTTCTTAACTCCTGTCACACTGTCTTTGATCCCTCATCCGGACTCCGAATCAGTCGCTGTTTAATCCCAGACACTCATAGCCTCGTCCTCTTTGTTATAATGAAAAGCTTACATGATTCTTTGTCCATAAAATAAGTTAGAAATCCATTCTTCCTCGGGTCATGCACAAGTTTCTTCTCCCGAGTCGCCAATTGATCTTTGATTGACATGAAACTTGCGTCTATACTTCACTTTACGTGCTAGGACCTGAAATGTGACAAATGAACACAACCTAGTGTAAAATAAGCCAAAGTAGAATAAACATCAAAACTAAACAATCAAGGAATGAGTGGTAAAAACATGTACAAATACAGTGTTATCACCTCTCTTAGGCTAACAGTAAACGGAGGGGAAAATAGGAGTTTTAAGGTTAAAATGACATTTTCGCCAACACGAAAATAGAAAGTAAATTGTGTGCTATAACTTTCTATTTAGTTTTAGTAATTGTAACTTACGAATAGTCAAACTTGCATTTTTTATCTAAATTTATATATTTTTTCATGATAATTCAATACGAGCATTCCGGTAAAATTTAAGCAATTTTCGAGATACTTTTTTATAGTTGAAATAATTAGTTAATCACTTTAATTGATTTTTCATAGCCATTATTTCAATTCCCCCATTTTATAGCCATTAAGATTTAAATTTTAAATTTTAATTTAACTTTTTGTCTTCAAATTGCAACCGACTTGTCGAAATTTCCATCGAAATGAGTTGCATTAGCTAAAAAAACCACTTGAAAATATCTAAACAAATTAAAAAGAAAAAAAGGGGTCTCCAAAACTTTGGCCCCGTGTAGATAATTGATTATAGTTTCTATAACTAGTTTCCACAAGTTTGGCCTCCTTTAGATCATGGGTTAATGGCATATTTTGTCCCTTATCTTTCTCAAATTTACCCCTCTACTATGTTTCACATCAAGTTTGCCCTTCTATTAATTGTGTCCTTTCAGATCCACTCTGCCTACTTCACCCATTCAATCTAGATCTTTATTTGATTCAAAGTTCCCAAATTTCAAACGCAAACATTCAAAATCATTTATCCAAAACCTCGATCACACTTTATTTTCTCGAATTAGAAAAGCAATCAAAACTAACGACAAAGAATCTATATGAGAAGAACCGTAAAAATGAACAAGGATTCGTAATGGTTAAAGCTAAATCTTGAAATCTCTAACGAGAAAAAAAAGAGGGTGATCAACGAAGGGAATGGAGCGAACAATGCAGAGTCGAAGAAGGAAAGCAAGACTCGAGACTTTTTTCCCTACCTCGAAAATAAGGTTCATTTTGTCATTTTTAGAGGGTTAGGTCGTGGTTCGACCATGGTTAACGGAAGGCAAATGAAAAATCTAACAAAAGGGCATATTTGATAACACTTATATAATAAAAGGGCCGATTTAACATGAAATATAGTAAAGCGGCATGTATGAGAAAAATACATAATAAAATGGCAAAATATGCTATTAACCCTATAGATCATCAGTTGCTTTTTATGCTGCTTATCCCCACCCTTTGTCCCCTTTTAGTCCTTACCCAAATCATACCTAAAATAATCTCTAAAACTCCTTTTGATCCTTGGTTAGAGACATTTTTTGGTAATAAAAGGGGAAAATGCTCTTTTAGCTTCCAAATAGTGGTCAGCTTTAGAGGATTTGTTGTACCTCTTTAAATGGAAGAAACTCGCATTGTATAATTTATTTGCGGAAATTACAAGTTTGATCAGAATGTCTACTAAATTGTTTCACGTTTGCCTCTAAGTAAAAATTATTTCATTCATTGTCACTACTTTATATTCTCATTTGATCACTACTTTATACTATGTCCATTTCAGTTAACCTTATTTTACGTGGCAACTAACTCTCGTAGTTGACCATTAAATGTAAGACTTAACCATTGAAAATAATAATAAAGAATTTAAAAAATAATCTTCTAAAATTTTCAACTCATTATCATATTCATAAAAAATTATTAAAAACTTATGTCTTCTAAGTTGTAATCCCCCAAACCACCCAACTATAGAGGAATCAAGGCTATTGTCTTACATCTCCTATTATTATTATTATTATTAGTTAGAATTTTAAGACACAAGTATTCAAAAATTACCAAAAACAAAATTTACTGTTCCTTAAGAAAAAATTGGGTATACTGTTCACGGATGGATTTTTGTGATCTCCTGACACGGCGCAACTAGAGAACAAGATCAAGGAAGCAGCTCGGTTGGAGAGGGAGCTGACGCCGCAAGCATGAGCCGACTAGCATTGCTGGACGTTTTCGATTTATTACGTTTTCAGTATAGAGTTTTGTTATTTTGTTTTAATTATTGTTTTCATAATCCTTTTCTGAAGGGAGTAGTCGGATCCTTTTCGGAAAGGATTAGTCGGCCGCACTTTATTTATAGGCAGCATGTAAACGTAAGGGAACTCAATTTTTAGCTTTTATCAAATTATTGAGACCTTAGGGTTTTATCCAGTGGATTCTGGTTTCTTGAGCAGAGTTTGCCGCTTGCAAGCTCCTGCGATCTCGGATTCAGCGTTTGCTAATCCTTGGGCGTTTTCAGATAAGCTTGTGTTTATCATATTGGGTAGGGCAAGGGTGACCGTTGATTCTTTTTTATTTATTCACATGGATGAGCCTATATACAAACGGGCTCATCTGAGGAGCTGACCATACTGTCCTCTTTTTCCATGCATCTCACCTCTTCATTCGTCTTTCCCAGTTCACTCTCAAGTCTCAATCTCTCATTTTTCCTATTGTGAAAAACCCCTTTCCTTCCCATTTGTCTTCCGCCAAATCTCAATCAAAGAAGAAAAAGTGCTTGCCGGAGCTAGGCTGCAGGGTAGAGATCGTTTAGGAGATTTCCTAATGCAGTAACGCGCTCAACTGTTTCCGGAAAGAAGACGAGACTTGGAGTTGTCAGCATCGAGGGTTCCTCACCACCATGAAATCGAGTCGGAGCCGCCGTGATGCTTCCAGCCTCATCCTCCTTGAATCCCACCACAACATCGACCCCTCCTGACTGCCTTTCTATCTGGCGCGGACTCCGTTATTTTCTGGGTATCGTCGCACGATACCATGGCGGTTCAAACCCTTCCGTGGATAGATGGTGAAGGTAGGTGGTTGAACTTGGATTTTAATTTAAACTAATTGTTCATTAGGGTATCCTTGATAATTTATTTTTACTCAAGTAATTAGTCATGTTAGTTTGAATTAGCTGTGGTCATAGCGCATTGTGTTTTCCATTTCCCAGTTCCTCATATAAGGCTTTGTAGTTAATATTTTCACTACTTATTTACCGTATAAGATGATTAGGAACAAATAGCACACTGATGCTCCAGTTTATCTTGCCTGGTTTGGGTCTTTTTGTTTTAAGATAATTAGGACAAGAGCTTTCTTTGCTTCTTTTTATTTGATCGTAGCACATGATGCTCCAATTTATCTTGCCCTATTTGATTCTTTTTGTTTTATGGAATGGAATCAGAGTGGGTTTTCAGATTATAGTATGTGTGTGCTTAAGTTTCATGAGTTACTTTTTTTTAATGAATGTGAAATTATATTAAAAGAATGGAATACGCCAGAGATGTAGACAGGAAGGAAAACAAGATTCATGAGTTGCTTTTGCATTGAAAACAAGATTCTGCGTATGTACTTCAGCTAATTGATTGCTAAGCATTAGTCATATACGTTAGTCAGTCGATTGATTCCTAGAGGTTAAGCCTTTACCCATTAGTTGTTATGGGTATTCTCTAGGTTGCAACTTCCATTTTCTATTATGTGTATGACTGTATGAGTAATTCATACTAGCAGAACTGTATGGGTAATATAAACTTCACGGTTGTTTATTGGTGATTTGTAGTTTTAGGGTATAATAGATATGCAGTAGTAGAATTGAGCAAGAGCTGGATGTCAATAAGATTTTTCCTCTATTATTATTTAAGATGAGTATTAAAATTCCAGTGTGTTGCAATACTATGTTTAACCACTAATTCTCATGTTAGTTGGGTTTATCTTCGGTAATGTCGCTGTTGTTTGGCTCATCTTTTCGTGGGTGAAGATAGTTTCTGTTTCTTTGCAGCTTTTCTTGGCATTCTCATGTAAATTTATTTTTTATTTGCTAATTCACCTGATTCTCTGATTTGAAGAACTCACAGCAACTTGGTTGCCCCATGTGCTTTGACAGGCAAGTAGTATACTCTTTTCTCCATATTAACTTAAAAAGTTTCGTTCTTTGCTGCAGCAAACAACAACTTTTGAAGGAATTGACCCTGCCCCCTTGACTTGCTTTGGGCTTGAGTTTGAGCACAAACTAATTGCAATGGAGATGGAGACTGGGCCTTCGATTCCCCCTGCTTCTAATTCTGCCTATTTTCTAAACATTCAGACTATGTGAGAAATGCTTGGTATGCAATTTTGATTTCCTTTTGAAACTGACTCTTCTATCCTAAAAAAAAATTTAGTGTGCATCTGCCTCCTAATCCAAATGTATGGTAATTGGTTGAATAATTCCTGTTATGTTGGACATAATTCCAATTCAAAATGGACAACATAACAACTTCTTAATCAATATTGTTACCCTATGGAGTTTAGCTCTTCCCATATGCAACAGTAGTATTAGATTTGTGAGCCCCCGTTCTATTTTCTTAGTTGCTCACTAACTTGACAGGTTCTTAGATAATGAAAGAGCACCAGTAGGACCTCGAGAATTGCTTTGGCACCAAGTTACTTACGCTAGATTTGTTGGTCCTCCAACTCTCTTTGTTGTTTGTGAATTAGTGGTCTTTCTGTACTTGACTGCAACTACATGTTGTTATGCTGAACTTTACACTATTAAGCTTAATGTTAAAATACTATATTAACAATGCAAAATCATTCTAAATTCAATGCATATCTCCATTTTGAGTATTTAAATGATGTTTTTAGTCAACTTTACTAGAAATGAGCACTATAAGATACATGTTGCTTCCTGTTTCAAGTTGATATAACATATAGAATTGACTCTTCACTTCTGCTTTGCCAGGAAATACTTCTTCTTAGGCATTAATGCACAATGCAGAGAAGATACCCTTGTAGTTGCTCTAATTTCACTACTAATTAAGTTCATTGTCAAGCTGACTTTTTACTTCTGTTGCTTTGTGTTATCATACTCACAGTTTTTTGCTTTTCCATAGTTGCTTTTATAACTTTGCACCTCTAACCTCTTTATCATGTGTTATGTTAGACTTAAATCGTAGTTAGTTAACAGTGATATAACTGATATTGCTCTCTCTAAAACCATTTGAGTTTTGGCAAACAGTTTCGATGCATGCCGTGCGATCGAATTGTTTATATTGGTTAATGTTATCTAGGTGGTTGAGCCTCATTTGATGTTCACATTTAGCAACAAGTATTTCCTGCTTTTCAATCTATTTCTCATATAAACATCCAATTAAGTAATGTTTGGTTCAATGGTTGACTAGCTTTTGGTCACATTTTGATTTTCCTTTGTTGTTTGTTTATTGGAAGAAGATAGATTTTCTCAATTTTAATTATCAATTATGTAGTTACGTACTTGTAAGTAAGATGAAGAAGAAGTTTAGTTTCATGGAGTGTTCATTCATTAGCATGGAACGTGGATGAAGATTTGAAGAAGGAAGAAGATGCAGAACAACAACAAATATGAATGAAATTGAATCAAGTTCAGTGTAACTTGAATGTTTTAATTATGAAACCCATATTGGTGTCTTTTCGTTATTGTATTATACTATTAATTCGTCCATGTATAATTTGGGTAGGACATACTTCCTCTCTACAGGTTATACAATTGCTTCAAGGAGAGGGTATATATGGAATATCATGTTGAGGACTTATAAAAGGAAGGCTCCGAGAGCTATTAGCTAGCCATTGTCCTTTTTACTTGATAATTCATAATATACCTTCAAATTATAATCTTAAAGGCATACAAACCTTAGCTCTATGAACTCTACTTATGTATATAGATCATCGGTATCTCTTTTTCTTAAACCACCAACATTAGCTTTTGAATATTAGATGTTTATGTTTCCATTCAAACATATCCAAAAACTACCGTTCTTAAACCACCAACATTATCTCATTTTCTTATGTATGGTAGAAATTCTACCGTTCTTTAATAGTTTCGGTTATTACTTCTTTATTGTTTCCATTCAAACATATCCAAAAACTAACAAATTATAAAAGCAATATAAATATTCTCTCTCCGCCGCGAGTCAAAATTAAAAAGGAAGGTTGTGTCTTACATCAGTGGAGCCCGAGCTCAAGTACGAGCTTGTGGAGGGGAAAAGAATTACCACCCGCGCCCAACCCTCAGCGGCGACGACTGGACTAGAGGTCCGGCAACGGAGAGGGATCAAGGATTTTGGCAAAGGGCCAAGATTCTGAGTCCGCCACCGAACAATAGGCAAGAGGTGCGGAGACTTCAGCTATTGCTGGGACTGGGATTGATCTCCACTAAATGCCCTTCATTGTCTCGGCATATTGGATATAGCCCGCAGCTCTTCACAACCAAGCATGGACTACTCGTCACGACAACTGCCTCAACGGGACTCCACGATTCCCGCCTCCGAACCGTCTTGAACAGAAGCGCTGGAATGAAGCGCAGCCAAATGTGGTCCGACTCAACCTTTGTACCGCTACTCAACTCAAACCCAACTTCAGATATCACAGTCCGCCCATTGCTTCGGCAGTGGAACTCAAGCCTCAGGTCGGCCGGAGCGATAGAGTCTTCTCCTCGCACTTCGAAAGTGGCCCACAGCGCTAAGCCTTTAAGTGTGTCACTGTACCAATCCGGCGGCAGCATCACAGCTGCTATACTAGAATTCATGTGCTGATAAGGAAGCCACTCCGCTGTGATCTCGCTACCTGGAATGATGACAGACAACTCGGCAACAGAGTGCGAAGGAGTCTGCAGGCACACACCAATACAGTTAGATGATGAAATATGGGCTGCCCTTTCAAGGAACAGAATGAGCTGAGAGTGAGAGTTAAGAAATTGAGACCTTCTCTACATGAACTTTCAGCAACTCAACTGCTATTTCGCCCTTGGGGTGCGGACTATAACCTTCATCTACAAATCCCAGTTCCGAGCAATTCAAGAGGTTAAAACCACGCATCCTCGCGGATTCAATACCTTTCGGGGGAACAATGAAGCGCAACGATGTACAGTTCGGTGCTTCCACACGGTATGTTGTGGACGGAAGACTTGGTATGAACAAAAGCTTCTTGCAATTTGCCAAGAGAAGAACTTCCAGATTTTTGGGGAGGCCGTCTACTTTCAAGTTGGAGAAGAGATTTCCACTAAGATCCAGCGTCCTCAGGCAGACCAGACAACTGATATCATATAAGGGATCCGGCAAGTTGCAGTTGCTCAAATCCAGACTCGTCAAGGACGAAAACTCTGTAAAGCCGAAACAGTCGGAGCTGAACGAGATAAATCTCATTAGGTAATGACTTCCAACAGTTTCAGAAAGATGATCCCGCCAGGCCTTCTGGATGGATGACGGCGCCCTGTTTGAGCCGCGAAGTGTTAGTACTTTCAGCTTCTTCAGCTGGCCACCTACTGCCAAATACCTCAACCTGAGAGCTGTTCCATCGGCATGAACTTCCTCCAAATTTTCCAGCCTGTTCAACTCAAACTGTAGAAGTTGGAGATTCGAGCAGCCGGAAAGGTGAAGGATTTTCAACGCACGACAGCGACCAACTGCCCCAGGAATGGATTCTAAGCGCTTACAACCTGCAACGCTCAACACAAGAAGCCCAGTGAGGTTTTGGATGGAACCTGGTATCTCTGCTAGATCTGTGCCATCTAGAAGCAGCTCTGACAAGTTCCCCATATTGGCCCTCACCTCGGGGAGCTTCTTTAATTTTGAACATCCTGACAGTTCAAGAACCTCAAGAGATCTCATTCCAATACTGGGTGGCAGATACCGTAGACTTTTGCACCCTTTCATATTCAAATAAACTAGCTTTTCCAAACCGCCAATAGAAGGATGAACTTCAATCAGCTTGATGCACCCTTCAAGAATTAGTATCTCCAGGTTTTGCATCAAAGAGAAATCTGGTGTATGAGTGAGCTCTTGAGAGTGGCTGAGTTTCATGAACTTCAACTTATCGAAAGCCTGCAGGAAACAGAGAATTGGTGATTGCACGTAAATCAACTGGTGTATAGTACTATATGTTTCTACCCACATCAGAAGCCATACCTTTTTCGTTGTCCAGAAGTTCTTCAAGCCACTGCATGACAAGTTGAGTTCAACGAGATTCCTGGGGTAGAAATTTGCAGGCAAAGACTGAAATGGATATCCAAGCCAATGAAGGATCCTCAATTCATTGGACAGAGTTTTCAACTTCCCTGAATAATGCAGCTTAGGGTCTGCAGCCCTGGTATACCTCCTCCGTATACTGTTTAATGAATGACCATGCCACTCCAAGCTTTTCAATTCATGCGAGAGAGTTCTCAATTTACCCAAAATATGCAGCTTGGATCTTTCATTACTGGAGTTACCAATGTGAGGGTATGATTCTTTCCTGAAGACATACTCGGAACTTCCAGATTGGTGAAGATTACAGATCTTAAGCACTCTAAGTCTCTCCATCTCATGGAGAGCTTCTACTCCAATCTCCTCATTCACCTTGGAAGTATCAAGGACAACACCTTGAACATCTTTTGGCACCTATAACAAACAATAAAATGAAAATCAATTACCTCAACAAATATTAAAGTTCTTGCCAAAAAGAAAGAAGCACGATTACAGAACAATTGTGATGGGGTACAATGTTCTATTTATTCCATTTCACAGCATATTGCTTACAGGTTTTTGCGCGAACAAATTGCAAACATCCTGATGATTCCACAACCTGCAGCGCTCTTGTCGGGCAATTTCCCATCCCATCTGCTGTAACAAATCATGCATCAGGACCTTGTTATCTTGGATAATGATGAGAGATCTGTGAAGGAGGACTCTCAATCCATGAACTGCAGAGAAGCCGCAGGCTTCTAGTAAGCTCACAATGTACTCCTTATCTTCCCCTCTAAAAAAACAAGCAATGTCGAGAAATATGTTCTTCTCGGAATTATCAAGCACATCAAAGCTAAGTCTTAGGATCCTGACAACATTGCGAGGAGGAACATCTTCCAATGTGTTCAATTTACTTTCCCATTCACCTCTATCCATGTTGTACAATGACAATCCGAGGAGTTTGAGGGCTAAAGGAAGCCCCTGGGAGTATGTCACAACACGCTGCGACAATGCCTTGAAATCTTGAACCGGGGAGCCTTTCTTAAAAGCATGTTCGCAAAATAGCTGAAGAGATTCGACATCACCTAAAGGCTTGGCCTCATACTCTGCATCCACTTCATGTTGCTCCAGCAGGTGCTTGTCTCTAGTTGTTATGATGATTCTACTCCCAGATCCAAACCAATCGCGATCCCCTACTAAGCTCATCAACTCATCTCTATTCGCAACATCATCAAGAACAATAAGGACACATTTAGTACGAAGCCTACCCTTCATTAGCACATCCAACTGCTGGTCCAAAATCCTGAGGCCATCTTCCACTATCAAAGCAGAAAGTAGTTTGTTCCGCAGATGATCAAGCCCGTGTTTCTCTGCAACCTCTCTAACACCCTTGAGGAAGCAGCAGGCATCAAACTTGTGGGAAACTTTATGGTAAACTGCTTCAGCGGTGGTCGTTTTACCGATTCCTGGCATGCCCCAAATTCCCACCATCCTGACCCCAACTAACCCAGTAAGCAGTAGCAACTCCACTTCCTTTATGCGGGTCTCCATTCCAACAAGGCCTCCTAAATACTTGTTCTGGTGTTCCCTGCCCAGCTTATTCAGAACATCAGCCACAATCTCATTAATAAGCGCTGGCTCGTCCCTGCGCGAGCAAAAATCAAACAGCTACTCATTCATTCTTCACACAAAACAACAGCCATTCAGGTGGGATCAATCAAAGATGATGCCGCAAGAATGAAATAGCCAATCTACGGACCTGTTACGCGAGTCCCAACCACTCAACTCAGCGGCCTTGTTGAGAGCAGCCTTCCAGCTCGCGAGCAATTCAGGATCTCGGGGGAAATCTTTCTCGTGTTTGGCGAACGAATCTGCGTAGCTATTCTTGATCTCGCTGACATCCGAAGGATCGATGCCGTAGAAGATAGGGAAGACGGCGTGATTACTAGTCTTGCTGTTCTGATCATCATCCGATTCCATAGACTGGATGATGGTCTGGAGTTCCTCCAAGCACCAGGGGGAGGAAGCGTAGTCCTCGGAGAAAACGACGATCGAAAACCTAGAGCGCTGGATTACCCGGAGAATCGAGGGCGATATGAGCTTGCCGCGTTCGAGCTTGAGATCGTCTTTGAAAGTGCTGATCCCTTTCTGCTGGAGAGCGTTGTAGAGATGACTGATGAAGCCGTGCCGAGTGTCGGATCCTCTGAAGCTGAGGAAGACGTCGTATGTCAGACGATCGGCCGGAATGGTGTAGGAGCCTTCTGCTTCGGCCATGGTCAAATTAGAAAGTGTATTACTTCTTGCGGCGGAGGAGGAAGAGGAGGAGGCGGCGGCGACTTCCCCGGCGGTGGACGAGTACATGGTTGGTTCTGGGACGCAATGCAAAGTCTACCGGAACTTGGAAGTTAATGGCTGTAGCTAGCGAGCTGCTTCCGGGTGATTTTTAGCAGTGGGGGGAGTGTGGCGGAGGTAGTCGGTAGACTGAGACTCAAAAGTCAAAAGTGAGCTCCTCTCCCGGGACAGGTGAAAGCGCGTGCTCTCCCACCATCACTCTGAAAATTAAAATATTGGAGGGAATCCCAGGACTGCTTTATGCACGTGAATGGGCCTTCTATTGTTGGTACTAGAGGTGGCAATTAGATCGGATTCGTGGATTGGTGAATTGGATTAGTGGATCCATGGATCAAATGAATTGGATCCAATGGATTGGTGGATTCATGGATTGGACTAAAATGTAAATTTTGAAAAGTTTAGATACTAAAATGTCACAATGAAAAATTTTAGGTACCAAAATGTAATTTTCCAATGATATTTTTCGTATAAAAATATAAATTTTAGGTACCAAAATGTAAAATATAAAAAATATAGGTACCAAATCGTAATTTGCCATTTGGATCCATGGATTGATCCATGAATCCACCAATCCAATTGGATTTGGATCAAATGGATTGGATTTAAATGGATTGGATTAGGTGGATAATTTGGTGGATGAATTGGATCGGATTCATGGATTTGGATCATAATTGTCACCTCTAGTTGGTACGATAAATCTGGACCTAGAAATTTAATCCAAAAAATTCATGAATGTAGACATCCGGCCCAATCAATAATTTGGGCCCTGCAGCGTGCACGCAACGTTTGTACTCGAACAATGTCATTACAAAGACTTGAACTCAAGTCCTTCAGATTGATAGACAATATGCCTAACCAACTGGACTACAACAATGCTAATGTATTTTTTGAATTAAAGAAAGAAAATACTGAAATATATCAAAATCATAGGACTATCCACCTCAACGATTAATCATCGAATGAATTAATAACTGTAATTATTTACAAAGTGAATCATCATGATATACCTAGCTTTATGAATCAACTAAGTGAGTTCCTCTGATCACACAATTCTTCACCAAGAATCAAATAGTACATTTTGAGTATATGTAGGTTACATGACTTTGTAGTTTGTAGGAATACAAGGATTGTTTACAAAAGCGCTGTACAAAATTTTATTTCAAAACATAAAATTTGACATTTGTGATCTATGGTTTTGTAACGAGACATTTTTAATGCTATAAGTGAATGACCAAAAATCATTGGCTAACAATTTCTCTAATGGTTGACAATTATAAGCATAGAATTGAAAGACTACATACCATTGACAAATGAGCCAATTATCATTGGCTAAATTTAACAAACAATAGTATGTGTATATACATTGGAAATTCTATGGTCTCGATGGATTGAGGGTTATTGCATCTCCTTAGTTAAATAACATTATCTATACCATAGATCAATCACATAACTAAACCCTATATCATAATTCTCTAAATCCTATTATAGTGCATATGGTATGTTGTATTCATCTTGGCGAATCAGGATCATTGATTATGTTCTTAGTATATGTGATATTAGGGTTTAAGTTGGTATATGATTTAATTATTTGAAACTTAATCTCCCTTTTCAAATTTCCTGCAATGAGAGGGAAATTAGGAAGGACATTTTTGTCTTTACAATTATTTGTATTTTTTATTTATTTACAGAAAAAGATAGACATATTGAGATTTGAACCATGGTCACTTCAAACAAAGTGAAGGTTTAAAATCAATCTGGCTATGTAGATTTGTTGTATTTTTTTAAATTAAAAATATATACGAAGCTAAAATATGAAATAAAAAATTTTCAACAGTTAGGTAGCCCCAATAAATATTCCGTAAGTACTTATTTGGTGTTTTGATACTTCGATTTTGATATTTTTTATTTTAATTATAGTTTAGTACTTAATTTAAAATTTTATCTATCTTATAAATAGACGATAACCATAAATTTGCAACAAAAATATTGTTGGTTCGAATATTTCGTATCGAATTGCAAGCATAATGATTGCTAAAATTAAGCTTTCATGCAAGTTGCAACACAATGGGAGTTGGGGGAGTGAACTTGGAGTAAAAGTTGATATTTAGTTTGCGAAGGGAAGTGGTGAGAGGAAGAAATTGTGTTTGGATTTGGTATCAGGTAAAGTTCATGGTTCGGTTTCTTTTCGTAAAATGCTTTGATTTATTTTAGTTAGAGGTATAATATCATGGTTATGTGGGATCAAATGAACCAAAAAATGAGCTTGGGGGATGGGAATTCCAACTTAGAAGGAGTGGATGAGATTTTGATAAACTCAAGTTCATGATTAACTGAAAGAATATTTAGATTTAGACTTTTTGGTATTGAGATGTTCATAGAGAGTTTAAAACTGATCCAAGGCCATGAATTGATATTGGTTAGTTGATTTTGATTTTGAGAAAGGTGTATAAAAAGTCATGGAAGTAGTTTGCAATAAGTGAAGGCAATGAAGAGGCAGTTGGTCAGGGTAGTGATTGAACCAAGGAGGGTATTGAAAGACATAGAAGCAAAATCGGAGCAGTTGAAGAGGGAGAAGTGGGAGATGATCAGGATATTAATGAAAATGGTGAGGGTATTGAAGGTCATGGAAGTGAACTGGATCAGGTGAAGGCATAGAAGGAGGAGAAGAGCATATTGATGGAATTGAAGATGAGTGTTGGTTTTACGAGCTTATTAAAACTGCCCCGAGGAAGATGAGTTGGCCAAATACAAGAAAGAGGATTGAGGAGTTGGAGATCAAGCTGACAAGAAACTCAATTGAACGAGAAATTCATGTTCATGGAGAGAAGGTCCATCAAAGTAGCATAAATTGAGTTGCAGAAGGAGGATTAGAAATTGAATTTTATTTTAAAACATATACGTCGAGAGATTTAAGATGGAGGGGATAAAAAGTTGGTTGTACAACGGAGAGTGGAAACTATTGGATCTTTAGGTGTTATGGTTGTTGCAACTACCACAACCTATGTTTATGTTAAAACGAGGAATCATTGATTGAATTACTAAAGTTAAAGTCGATTCACTATTTAAACTACTGGGAACCTGTAGATAAGGAGTGTCTAATTTTGTGTCTCACTACTTTGATCGAGTCTATTAGTATATTGGATGTAACTCTAATTTTGTCATTTGCTCTCAAGTTTTGATGGTTTCTTTTTAGTTGAGTTGTTAGCATATGATTTACTTGAATCAAACAACTCTTCATTTTTGTTTTTTTATAAATCCATTTCTTTTTTATTAGTGGCATGTTATTCATAGAAGAGAGCTTTGAACCATTTATGTGGGATTGTGAGGTTTCATTTCAGTTTCAAACTATCTATGGATAGTGTGGTAATTCCAATGAGCTTTTATATTATATATTTCTGGACAATCTATTAACCAATATCATTTTAATGGGGGCTCAATTATCATTATGAAAAATGAGATTAATGATATATTTTTATATTCTTAAATGAGGAGGGTATTTCCCTGAATGTTCGACCTATATATACATTCTTTATGTAGCATCTCGATTGAATGATTTTCAATAAACTTAAACGAATTAATAGACTTAAACATAACATAAAAATATTAATATTAAAATATGAACATTCCGGCCAACAGGCCGGGTTATAAGCTAGTGAGTGGGTATAGGTATCTATTTCCAATATGTTCGGCCCCGTTCTTTGTCCATTTTATGTTGATTTTTTTATAATATCTTTCACCTATTTTGATTTTTCTCCAACTAATTAAATTTTATTTTCAGCTAGTTAAACTCAATTACCCATTCCATTATCATTATTTCTCATTCATAAAGTGTTTTCTCTTCGATTTGTCATAAAAAGTAAAATTTGACGTGTTTTTTTTTTCAAATAACATGTAAGAGTGGGTTGACCCGTCCCGCCCCGTACCCTTGAGCATAGTTAGTAAATACCCCCATTTAATACATGTATATGTTGTCATATGTATTTTATCCGTTTAAAACTTTCTTGTCTATATTATTGTCAAGTCGTTTCATTTATTGGTATTCACTTGATGGTTCATGTACTAAACACGTATAAAATCCATAAAACAAGTTTAATATCCGTATTTAATAAATTAAATTGCTAACTTAACTAATATTTAAATATTAATTTATCTTGTAAAATAATTTTTTTTATATTTTATAACTTTTATGTACTATTAAAGGTAACATTAGTTTAGAGACGAAGAAAAATACTGATACATAGTTTATACGTAAGTACCCTTACTATATTTTACTAACTATGCCCGAAAGGGTAATACCAGCCCGAATCGTTCTTGGTGCACGGCAGGTATGGGTATTGAGATGCTCGCTCCACCCCACCCCACCCGTTTGCCATCACTAAATACATGAAATATTTATTATAGAGTTAAGATAGATAAAAAATTTTTGAATTAATTTAAAGGAGCAAATAAGGTAAAAAAATCGCTAATTATAAAATCCTTCTAAATGAAGACCTATATTTGTGGATTAACTTTTTTATAACGTTTCAGTGACACCCTACCTTTCATACAAATCCAATTGTAGTTCTCTATAAAATATACTAACAAAAATGGTTCTGATGGTTCAGCAGCCTAACAAAGCAACACAATTTTTTTCTTAATGGAGAAAGCAACAAAATTAGTTACACCGCTACTTCTTCTTTCCTTGGACTAATATGGCTGCAGTTGCTACTATAGGAGGTCTTTATGATGGCAATACAAATTCAAATTCAACTACCTAATGATAATAACTCCATCAAGAATGATATCCCAAATACACATAGAGCCTACACTACCCCATCTCCAACTAAAATTGCAGTCCTGGGGGAGAGGACCATTCTCAAGAAAATTCTATCCTTTCTCATTCTTACTAGGCGACAAAGCAAAATCCCCTATGTAGAAGAAATCCTTTGACCTTTATCGCACTCGAGGAAGACCCGATCTCTGAATACCAAGCTTAAGCGCTTGCTTGAGTGTGTCTGTTACAGTTATCACTCGTTGTTCCCCAATCGTCTTTGGACAACCTGCCATTTGATGGCCTTTTGACGGAGATATCATAATATCAAGAAAAAGATCTTATCACTTTCCTTTTTAGCTAGGCTTGTTGTTTTGTACTTTGAAAAGGCCATTACTAAATGGGCTGGTGCAACGTTATGCATGTTATATGCTCATAACCATCACAATTCCAGCCATGGGTCTCAACCAAAGGACTCCCCGTTTCAATTAAATGCAAGGGCCCCTGACTTTCAAATCGCTT